TGGTGATAGGGGTGCAAATGAGTGGAGCTCGAGTTGAGCTCGAGCCATTTTTTACTTGAACCCAACCTTTATTAATTTTTTTGAGTTCGAGCTCGAGCTCGAGATTAAGTTTACGGATTTGAGCTGACTTGCGAGCCAACGAGAATAATAAATAAATAATAAAATATCACATAATATACATTACTAAATATTTTTTAAAAATATTTTTAATGTCTTAAAGATAAAGTAATCTTGAAATTTAATATATTTTAAGCATATTTTATGTTATTTTTTTTAAATGAGCCGACTCACAAGCTAAAGAGTCGAGTCGGGGCTAGCTTGAGCTCGTTTGTTAACTCATCGAGCTCAGTTCACTAGCCACGCATCGAGCTCGGCTCAAGCTGGCTCATGAGTTGGCTTGATTTACTTACTCCCCTAGTTGATGTTTTTTTTTAATATGATATCAAAGACTAGTGATATGCATGTAAATATGACCTTAAGATGTTATATATGTAAATACATAAGAAGTGTGTTACGGATGTAAAGATCTTTTTTTTTTCTTTTTTTGTGGGTGTAAACACTTTGCCCACTACTTTTCTCTCTCTTTATTTGTTTGCCGGTTCTTCTTTTTGACCGGTACCGATGAACCGGGACAGCTCGTGGGACTTGTAAACCGAGCCGAGAATGACGTCGGATATTTGGAGGGAGAAGAAAAGGCATGGTGGTTCGTAGTGAGACCGGCTGGTTTTCAGCTTGTTTTTACCTCTGGTCTCTTCTTTATTTGTCACAAGGAATAGGACGTTTCATGTCTTTGTTCACATCATGATGTTATCCTAAACCGTGATAGAAGAGAACGTTGAACGCCACTCTGCTTGATTTGTTGATACTTCACTTGATTAACCTGAAGTGAGGAATTTGATGGGACTACCTAAACTGTGGATTGGTAGAAAAAAAAAAAAATCTCATTTTTAAGTAAAATCTACTTCATAAGCATAGGGTTTCAGACGCTCTCATATTGTTCCATTATCCAAATTACATGAGTTATGGACATTAATTTTATTAGGTGGGCTCATATATCAGATAAGGGACAAATGTTGAGGCGGAGTGAAGCAGAAACATCTGTTCAATTAGGAGAGTCTCGTTAATTGGGTTGGGGGTGCGGGGACAACACCACTGCGGTACGATAAAAAGTAATTTTGTAATTGCATATTGTACACTAGTTATATATATATATATATATATATATCTATTGTATTTATAACCCTAAGGGGATGTACTATTTTCAAGAAATTAAAAGAAGTCGTCACTCATTATTCCTGATGACTTGGTCACATTGCTGACCCTCATTAAATCCTTGTGTTCGCTCTTAATTGTTATGTTAATTCTTGAGTTTCTTTGTCCTAATTTCTCAACAAATTTGTATGTGGATTCACACACCCAATATAAGAGTTAGAAAAAAAAATTGAGATGGCATCTTATATTTATTGATAAGTTAGTTCATATGTTGTAATTGTTTTGAATGATACATTGCAAGACTTGGCCTGTTGGTGGCAGGGTCACTGTAAGTCCCCTTCAGTCAAGGGTTCGATCCCACCGTGACGCAGGAGCTCTAGAATTATAGACACTTGACGCGGGGGCTCTGGAATTATATGCACATTATGCGGACTCTCATCATCGGGCCTAAATGCACATGATAAATGGATATTTGACATTTTTAAAAGAAAAATATTCATATTAATATAAGTACAGTAATTCTCATCAGCCTTTCAACGCGTCATGTATCTTCTGCAAGTTTTTATGAATTTTTTTTTTTAACGACGAAAACTGAAGATTTAGGTGGGGGAGTACATGTGAACCGAAGAAGAGAATCAATCTCACGATTTACGAGTTCAAAGAACACTGCGCAGAAATAGTCGTTACTTTTTAGTACAGTAGTTCAGTTTGACGAGGGAGAAGCTTTCCTAGTTTCAGTCCCCTTTGGAACCAGCAAGAGCATCATTTTGTCTACCCCCAATAGAAGAGCTAACAGCGCTTAAAAGATTTTATAAACAATTAAAAACATTGAGCTGTAAAAGCCTGAAATGTGAAACCTCATGCCGCGGCAGAAATTATAAGTTTGAATGCGTAAAGTGAACTTTCAATTGGAGTTTTGGCTCTAGCTTTTCTTCTTAGATAACGTTTCTAAAATGAGGAATTCAATGTTTTTGAAAGTTGAATGGGGCTATATGGTAATAATAGAGGGTTTAATTTTCAAATATGAGAAATGAGACTTTGATGTATGTAATTGGTTCCATTCAAGACAGAAGCCATATGGTTTTATTCAAAGTTTTGAAGTGAAGGCGCGATTTGAATCATTTGATAAACTTTTTAAGTTGGTAACTGTCAAAGTTTTGAGAAAAATAAGAATAGGCTTGATTCATTTTCTCTTTGTTTTCATTCCATTAAATAATAATCTTACAATCTATTTTAGGTGCAAAATAAAATGCATAATCTATTTTAGGTAACTTAATAATATATATTCCTAACCTAAATATTCAGCTAAAAGGAAAATAAATCATAATAAAAACATTGGAAATAATTTAAATGAGGAAGCTCATAATTATAGAAAACTCATAATTTAGCTGTCTGATCTCTGTATTTTCTGATTGACATCTCCGCTCAAATTGATGTTGACTAATCAAGAAGCATCAATTTGTCAACAAGAAACTGATAACATTGTCAGGATAAAAAAAATTTCAAACAGTGAGTGCCGAAGTCGAAAGAGCCAAAGCCTGAGAGTGTTGAAGCCTGAGAGTGTCGAAGCCGAAAGTGCCGAAGCTGAAGAGTGTCCAAGTCCAAAAGTGTCGAAGCCTGAGAGTGTCGAAGCCTCAGAGTGTCGAAATCTGAGAGTGTCGAATTCAAAAGTGCCGAAGCCGAGAGTGTCGAAGCCAAGATTGTGGAAGTCGCTGGTATATGAAGGAGTGTCGAAGCCTTCAATCCTTGGGTGCGACAAAAAAGCAGAAGTCGAAGCGGACGAAGTCGAAGAGGAAGAAGCAATCTAAGATGCCGCAAAAGCAGCGATGACTAACGAAGGAGATCTGATGAATTAATGAGATGACAAGAAGACGAGCGAGAATCAAGACAAATAAATAGTTCCTTCATTTTCGTCCTGCAAGAAGGCCGGCGAGAAAGGAGTCTTGATGGTACTCCAACAATTATCAGTGGTTAGGACAAAAAATTGGCTCTGATACCATGTCAAAGTTTTGAGAAAAATATGTTGAATTCTGAATATGCTTGATTCATTTTCCCTTTGCTTTCATTCCATTAAATAATAATCTTACAATTTATTATAAAGTACATAATCTATTTTAGGTAACTTAATAATATATATTCCTAATTTAAATATTCAACTAAAAGGAAAGTAAATCATAATAAAGACATTGAAAATAATTTAAATAACGAAGCTTCTAATTATAGAAAATTCCTAATTTAGATGTATGATTTTCGTCTTTCCTGATTGACATAACTTGAGGTGGCATGCAGCCAATCATACGCGGAATACATAAGCAGAGTTATATATTTTGACCATTCAATTCATTTTGGACGTCTATGACTGATTTTAAATTACTGTTTTGAAAATAAACTGGACGATCAGAGAGGAATTGTATCTTTATACGCAATACAATATGGAATCCATATAATGTGTTGTACAATTCATAGAGCATATACTTTGTAATTAGATATAATATATAAGATGTTATATGTTTTTTCAAAAAAAAATGTAACATATGAATAGCTGATTAGAATCTAACTGGAGCTAAAAGGTGGGTTGCAACACAATTGATAATAGCTTCACTGGAATACATATCACTGACATTCTATATACATAACTAAGGGCATGCATAAAATTTCGTTAAATTTCTCTTACTTCTTTGAGCCCACTTAAAGATGTGGTTGAATTGAGCCCACTTGTCGATCTGATCATTTTCATTTTCCTCGAAAGAACAACTAGCCCACATTTGCATGGGCGGGTTTTAGTGTAAACCATCATGACCAATAAGAACACCCTTTGATCCCTTATTAGTTGTCTAACTTTTGAAACTCCATCATTTCATCAAGGCACCATGGATGACTGACGTATCAGTAATACCTGACATTCATATCACATTCTTTACATACAATACAACACACATTACTTGATTATTTTATTGATTTTCTTCCTTATATATTACTTCAATTAATTTACCACTTTAATTTTTTTTTCTCTTCTCTCCCTGAAATTTTAGAACTCTGGCTATCTCTAAACAGCTATCTTTCTCTGACTTACAGAAGATCATAATTTAGTATATTTCATGAAGTTCTCTTGAGATGCTCTCATTCATCTCTCTTTCTCCATCTTTTTGTCTTTGATATGAGATATTTTATTGAATTATATGCATTCAAAAATAATACGAGATCCTACTTTACAAAAGGACTCAATACCTTCATTATTCTTTGATTGTGTTGAATCATCATCTGTCTTTTGTATAGTGCCCAAAGAATAGATTCAAATTCCAAGGAAAAGAGAGAGAGAGAGAGAGAGAGAGAGAGAGAGAGAGAGAGAGAGAGAGAGAGAGAGAGAGAGAGAGAGAGAGAGAGAGAGAGAGAGAGATGAAGAGTTGAGCCTTGGGGGGCAAAGAGGGGGTATTCCCGGGCTTTTTAACATCTTTTATTCCACATAACCTGAAGGTTATTATTGGAAAGAGAATGTGAGAGATCTCCCTACATGAGGGGTAAGAGAGAGTCTTAGCGACAGCCTTTATATGTCAAGGGGACTTCTATTTATAGAGAAATGAAAAAGAGAGAGGGGGGACACATTTATGCTTCTGTTTAAAGGGGAGCAGTGAGTGATATTAGGGTTAGAAAAATTAAGGTTTTCGCAGCATATGTTTAATGACAGTTTTAAGAGTGCTGCCAAAAATATCTATAACAGAATAAAAAGTGTTAGCAAAATGCCTAAAAAAACAAAAAAAAATTAATTTTAATTTTTTTTCCTCTTCCACATTAAGTATCCCGCGCGCTCTATTTCCCGTCCTTCCTCGCCATTGTCGGCCCCGATTGAATACCTAGCCACCAGGCCACACTCCCATGATCGGCCCCCTTCAGATTTTTTGCAAAACCATCACGTAAGTGACCAAAACCTCGCGATACCATCCTTAACAGAGGGAAGGCAACGATAGAATCGCCGCTGACTCCCGACCCTCTTCGGATTTTGCCTAAAGCCATCCCGTTGGTGTTCGATCCCTCGCGATACCGCTGCATTCCTCGCTAACTGTGGGAAGGCAATGTCGGGATTCCCACTGGTTGTGCAACGATGATATCGCCATAGACGTGTGGAGAAAATAATGAAGCCGCAACTCTGGTATGTATGATTTTTCTCCTGCTATCCATTTTTTTTTCTCTTTTTTATTTCTTTTAAAGCCATGTGTTGCAAGTTCGAAAACTAGTTGGATGCATCTGTCAATCTTGAAGGTTTGAAGGAAACATTTGTCCAATATTTATGTTTGAAACTAATTTTGGGAATCACTTTAGAAAACAATAAACATCACAAAAATTTATATATCTATTAAAAGATCAGGAATTGAAGTATTTAGTCAAAAGTTATTGATTCATCATACCACATTGAAATAATATTCTTGAAATATGTTGTTGAGTCTTTAATTACCGCTCATTAAATTATTATTTCTCCCCCTAAAGAATAAAATTTAATAAATATTCAAGGCTTTTTTTTTCTTATGTTGTATTATATTTTATGACATCATTTCCTATTTTGTATGCCTAATCATAGGAAAAAGTTATTGAAATTAAAATATTTTTCATACATTAGTACTTTTCACTTCAGACTAGTAAAAGTATTTATGTTTATTAATTCAATTGAAACTTTAATTTTGGAGGCAAAAAAATAATGTAAAAAATGTTAATTAACTTCTTCATTCTGATTTTTAAAGGTCAATTAAGGTGCACAAAGTGCATTTGTTGTTATTCTGGCTAACTTACCTCACAAATGGAGCAAGTATATAATTCTTCGCAGATCCAACAGCAAATTTGCCTTTCTTAGTAATTTGTTATGCTTTCTAACTTTTCATAAGAATTAAATTGTGTTCTTATTCAAGAAAAGCTGTGGTTTTTTTGAATCTATAGTGAGAACTTCAGTTATAACATACTTGTGCTGCAATTTTGAAACCAATTTTGAGAGCGATTTTTAAGTAGTTTTTTTTTTATTCTATAGTGAGAACTTGAGTTATAACATACATAATTTGATGATTCAGAACATTCTTAATGGAAATATCAATACAAAACTGAAATGCAATAAATTACAAGTGGTTTTAGATGCGAGGTGAAGTCTCAACCGTTGCTCTACTTTCAAATGTACATAAGAATGGCTAGTTTTCTAATAGTTATAAGTTTATTTTTTATCCTTTCTTTTCCATTGCTGCTGTTGGCTTTGCTATAAATGAAGATGACACTGTAAAACAATTTTAGCTTACATACCTATTGATGAAAATTAAGGAATTAGTTCAACTCGTGGACTTGTATAAAAGGTTGTTTCTAGAGGTGTGTCCTGCAGGGGTTAACTATTGATGAAAATTAAGGAATTAGTTCAACTCGTGAGTCCTACAGGTGTGTCCTACAGGGGTTACAATGGTAGATCAGATAATTTACATTGTACACCAACACATCCTGAGTCAATGGACGAAGATCACAATGATACTATGAAACCCTCTCAATCATCATATCATAATTCTGGACAACAGTCTCATCGCACAAATATTGAGACCTTACATATTTGGAACTATTTCTATTTTGCAATTTTTCTCGTCCCCATAAAGGGCATACACATTTTCGAATGAACTTTTATAGAGCAAGCAACAACTGTACAAGTGACGGCTCTCTATTCGTCTTGGTGCTCCTTACCCCTACCTAAAAGTAAACAATATAGAGTGAGCAACAACAGGCTGAACGAAATAAGCAAGGTTAAAATAAGATTTTATCCACAAAAAAGAAAGTGCATGCTCGTAAGTAACTGTACATATCGATGCACAAGACATAACATGCTAGAATCATAAAACATATCTACATGAAAAATAGATAGTGTGAAAAATCATAAATGTTATATAAAATTTGTATGTTATTCATTCATGTGTAGTCATCAACATGTAATTATAAGCATGACCATAACAATGTTATTATAGCCATATCATAGCAATGTTACCTGTGTAATGTTTAGGCCTCAACTATTTTTATGTCCTATCATATCAAGGGTTTTCACCCTGCCCCAAAAGCTATGTTAACTATTAATACAGGTTGGGTCTCCAAACATAGCAATCATCAATAATTCTCTGATACAAATGATTCTCTATGTTTTCACCATCTGATCACAACAGTTCCCAGAATTTCATCATTGCCTGAAAACTAGCAGTCATAAATACCACATTTCTGTATAGAGTACTTATAAGTACTCATGTAATAGTCTACCATAACATCACTTGTGACATTTAAGTCATCATTTATGTATCAAACATTGATCACAAACATTTCAAATATCATGCATGAATCTTAACAAATGAAAACTTACAAATAATAATTTCATAAGCATATCCATCTGTATCATAGCATATCATAACATCAAATGTATCACATGTAAAACCAATTTACATATATAAATTCAATGCAAGTATCCATCCACAGTATAGAAGAAATTTTAGAAGTATCAATGTCACAATGACAATAAAACTTAGAGATAATTAATTTTTTAAAGTTAACATGAGATTATTTCACATGACTAGACGAAACAGCCCTACAATGAGTTCCCACACGCTCATCTCAAGCTCTCCACCTCGTATGAATAACTTGAAAATTGTAGACATGGTAGGAATTCATGAATTTTAGGCTCATAAAGTGATTTATCCCAAACCTTAACTCATTTGCCAAAACATACTTCAAACAGGTTTCCTAACATAAATATTCCCTTGAAATACCATCTTTTCCTCTTCCCCCTTCTTCATATTCACTTAATCCTGCTTTCTTCTCATTGATTTTGTGCTGAAATCCCTTATGGAAAACCACAAACCAAGTTTGACACTTTCAATGCAAATTTATTTTATGTTATGTCTACCAAAAACAAAATAAATACACAAATTCATGACAGACATCAAAATTGAAATAAGCGAAAGAAAATGAATTTCTATAATATCGCTAAGGAGGGTTTCATACTTATCATTTCTCTCTGAAGTTTCGGATTATAGCTTGCGACTATTGGACCTGCTGTCAATTTGTGCATGGTGTAGTGCAGGATCGTACCGGGTTCGTGGGATACATACTGTCCAACGAATCTAAACAGGGGAGGTAGGGGAAAATAAATAAATGTTGCATTTTATCTCACCCTCCCTTTTCCCCCAATCTTTCAATCAAAACTAGGCTGATGCATGCGTGAATAAGGAGTGGGAGACTCGGCTAGCTACAATGCATATGCGAATTAAGGAAGGAATTAGGATTAAATAACATTTAAATTAAGTTATTAAACAAATACTTTTTGAATTTCATCTCTCTCAATCCATTCAAATTTAATATATAGTGTTTTATATTAAATTGATTGTTTTGATGTGTAGAATTTTTATAAAAATAATTTGGTTAAATACTAAGGAGTACAGAATTTGTGGTACATTTTAAAAATTGTTGAACTTTACCTAAGTTTCAAAATTTTGGGTGTTACATTATTAACCTATGCTATATTTTAAATATTAGTAGATACATCACTAAATGCAAATTATGATGAGTGAAATGCAAAAAAGTAGAGAAATTCAAAACACAATAAAGTTCATTCATTGATTTAAATTTTAACTATAAATTCAAAAGCAATGTGTCATAGCCTATTATAATTTTACAATTCACAAATACAAAGCATTTCATTTCAACAAATTATAAAAGTACACACAAATTACAATAAGAAGATAACAAAAAGGAAAGTAAAACTAGGAAATCCAATGAATTTGTAATGAAATTGTCCTTCCCAAGTACTCTTCCTCCTCTTTTTGTCTCTTGGCTCCAATAGGCACTCACACATTATTACACTCACTCTAGCTCTCATTCTCTACTCTCATATATCTTTCAACCTTATTTGTCACTCTAGGACATCAAGTTAAGTAAGTCTATGCACTATAATTGTCCTCCCCACCCCCTTTTCAAAATTTGAATTTCAACACGAGGTCTTTATCATTTGATTCTTTTATTTATTTTAGAGTCAAAGATGTTGTGGCACTCCAAATGGTTGCACTAATGTGTTGAATTTGAGTGTCTGGGCTTTAAGCACGTTGAAAACTTCATGTTAGGAGATCTCTGTATGACACGTAGGCATTGGGCATAAAGTTGAGGCGCTCTAGTAAAATTCACCAAAATCTTCTTGATTTTTCCTTAGAGATCGTCATACACATAAACATACATTTTTATGCATTATTTTTCTCACTCAACACGTATAAACAATCAAGATGCTACTAAGAAGTTGAAATTGAATGACAGTGTTGAATGAGAATACAAATTGTTTTAGATGATCTGAATAAATTGCAAACCAATATTTTGGGGTTTATTTTTGGTCTTAGAATGTTTTCGAATGATGAACTTTGAATATTGAGGGCATTTAAAACTTTGAAATTAGGAGTGAGCATAAGGGGTGATGTAGGTGAAGCTATGGGGGAGTTTTGTGAGTTGGTTATCTAAACTATGGTAAGAAAAGATATCCACATTGAGCACAACATGAGAGGAGACATCAGTTTTGTTAGAGATGGGATAATGCTGTTTGTAGCTTTTTCACGTTAAAGATGCATCAAATAAACTTGAGAACTAAATTGTGAACAAATAAGGGCGTAGCTAGGATAGACATTATCAACCAAAAAATTTAAGTATGAATGTGAGTGTGATCTATGACAAATGAGCTGCTATGTGATTTGTTTTCCATGCTTATCTATGGAAAATTATTATGATATAGGAAGCAATTAAAAGTGCACGCCCATAACTATTGAGATAGTGAGCGCTCTATCATCAATGTTACGCTATTTCAATAAGATGATAATGTTTGTGTTTAACAATGTCATTTTATTTAGGAATATAGGGACAATTGTATTAATGAAGGACACCCCAATGAGAGAGCAAAGGTTGAATACTAGAATTAGTATACTTACGACTACCTCCATCAGAGTAAAATTCTGAGCAAATTATTGATTTGTCTTTCTGCCAATTTTAAAAAAGTAATGAATTTAAATTCAATTTTAGATTTCTTTTTTCAAACATAATTTCATACAAAAGCAGGCAAAGCTTTCTAAATTTGAAAGGATCTTAATACTTTCATGACAAAACATGTGTTTTACAATTAGACTCTCTTATTGACCTTGACATATTCAATGCAATAGTAGAAAATTTCATATTTAACTTTATGTTAGAGCCAAAAAATAGCTATCTATATGAAACATATTTGCATCATTGATCTTGAATAATCTCTAACTTTCATGATAATTAATTGCACATGCCAATCATGCATTTCACCATGGATGAGATGAAGTGATTAAAATGATAAAGATTTTGAAGAAAAATAATGATTTCATCATTAGTCATTCTTCAAAAATATTTGTTCGTACGTATGAAATTTATCATAGTAAATTAGAGATATTTCTCGTTGTGATAGACAATTTTATTATGTAAATAAAATAATATAAAATAATCAAATTTTCACTATATTTTTTCTTAAATATTGTTTAAAAGGATTTATTGGAGGGGGGAAAAATTATAAAATGAATTAGTCATTAATAATTGGTAATTTATTTTAATATAAAAAAAATTATGATGATCATTTATTAAATTGTTAAATTGGTCTTATATCGGTCCCTGATTTCCTATAATCTGTATAAACCCTTCGCGGCCTTCCAGCATCAGCGGATTCGTCTCCAACAATTCAAGTATTTTGAATCGAGAGGTTTATATTCAGGGAATCTGGACGAGGGAGGGAGGGAGGGTGGCGGCAGTCGTACAGCATGGGCTCTTCTAAGCGCACAATTTCCCAGCAAGCATTCGAGGCTATGGTGGCTGAGAACATGGAAGATCTCGGTATGGATCCCGATGAGGCCCTCCAAGATGCCCTTCAAACTCTAACTCTCCAGGGCGTCGACCTCTCCGGTCAGCATATCTTCTCTTTCCTTCTATTTGAGTTTGAATGAATGTCACGGCATGAGGCAACTTTGCCAGCCAATTTTTATTTGTTTCTTTGATAATCTCTACTCGCTAAGTCGCCAGTGATAAACCGAATCATTTTTTTCTCCAGCAATTTGTTCTGAATTGGAGTGTGAGAAAATTCTTTAGATTTTGGGTTTAAAGTTTGCACATAATGTGGTTGACGCCAAACGGATCTTCTCTTACCCCACCTACATAAGGAAATTTTTGTTGTTTTTTATTGCTTACGAAATTATCCATGCACGGTGATGTACCATCCATCGAGTGCATGAGTTTTGCCTGTTTTTATGGTCATCTTAAATGGATTATGTTTTTGATGATCTTTCCTTCTACAAGTGTTCAGGGATTATTAAGTGTGTTCCTGGAGTAACTAGTGCAAAGGATGACCCTGTCATGCAATTGCTGGACGGCATTAGGAGCACGTTTTTGTCAAAATTGGAAGACAGAAAGGGTGGTGTGCTTGACGAGACTGCGGATCTAGAGGAGATCGCTAGGATGCTTGACAAGCTTTATGATCTGTGCAACGTAGAAGGCAACAATGCTGCCATTGTAACTAAGAACGGAGGGGTGGAACTTCTAACTTCAGTTTGTGGCTTTCTTTACGGTGGATTGGAAAGGCCTCTGGTTTCGGCCTTGAGGGCTTTGAGCTCTATTCTTCAGGGTGAGATGCCTTTAGCTTCTGATTTGTTTAGAAGAAATATCATACATTTGTTATGAAGTATAGCTGTTTGATGGATTTGTTGGTTTTTGTTGCATTTTTGGTACTTCATAATCTGGTATTCTTTAATTTTTATATTCATTTTTTATGTTTGACTGTCTGCTCCTTCATGTCAAGTAGATTATTTTCTTTGAAGGAACACATCCATGATCAGAATTACTGGGAATGTAATGCTATTTAATTTGAAAGCATCATCTTATTAGCTGATCTTTTAAGTTGTTATTATAATTCCGGAGCTATATTTCTCTTGATAAGGTTACAGTACTGCATTCGTTTCAACATAAACTTTAGTTTTATACTTTACAAAGGTTGTTTTATCCCACAGATGTTCAGAGCACTGACACATTTGGTAAAAGTGGCGGCCCTAAAATTGTTGTGGATATTCTTGAAGAAGGCTTCCAAAATGCTAAAATACTAGACAATGGGTTTTCTGTCATTGCTGCTGCTTCTATTGGCAATGAAGTCATCAAGGAATCATTCATGGAACTAAAAGTTGACGAGCTTTTTGTAAAGATTTTTAGAGAACAGAAAAATTGCTGCCCACAAAGCATATATGATGCCATACGCATCCTTTTAACTCCTGATGATAAGAGAGTCGTAGCTTCTCAAGTATGTTTATGCAAATATGTTCAGCCTTTTCTTTTAACAATTTAAATTATGATATATTTCTTTCTATATTTACATGCTCATCTATTGCTTTTTAATCTAACACGAAATTAACTTCTTAAAGTTTCCTGGGATCATGATCTATCAGATTACCTTGTTAACCGGCTAGGCACATTCCTTATTTCCATTTAATTAAGTTTTTTGAAAGTTGTTTGAACTTGCCAATAAGAACATTTTGTCGGGATAATGAAAGTGAGTTTAGTTTTTTGTCAGTTAAATGAGTGTGAGATTTGGTTGCTAGTCTCGTAGTATACTACATCAAACAAGCACAGCTTACATGAAAGCATGTGGTTATTTTTCAGATATTTGTCCAATCTTATTTACCAACAATAAACCTCTCACTTCCACGTTTTATACGGAAGCACCACATGTGATGACAATTGGGGCAGCAAAAGAGAAAATCATGCTGGACTTTTGGTACTTTAATTGTTGGAAATGGTAGAATCTAGTGTAGAGAAACAATAAAGTTGCGGGGAAAGAGAAATGAATGAATGCTTCAAGGAGAGGGAAGCAACGGTGAAGAGATGGAAAGATTCTCGTGACTAGGAAATGAAACAAGAAATTGATCCTTATATAGTGGTACTAAAGAGAGACCGTATTTTAGTACCATAATTAACTATCCTCATTACTGCCTTTGACTTGCAATGTGTTATAGCTGCGTTAATATAATGAACAATCTGGTATAATATAAAATAATAAAATGAATACTTTTAAAATGTGCATTACTTTCTAGTATGTTGGATGATGCTAAGATGCACAACTAGCATAAAACAACCTTGAATAATGATGTGATTTTGTTTAGCTTGAATGATTAAGGTTTAGAATATTGAGAAGCTTTTAAAGTGCAAAAAATATATGAGTGATAGTCCATGAAGAAAAAAACATGAAAAAATTGACAGGGGTGAATATGAAAGGTTAATCAAATATGAAGTTATAATACAAACATAAACTTTTGGAGCTTATGAGATTATGTCAAAGACACATAAAATTATTTTTATGTGTAAACTTCAAGATTTCAAGATTAGGATGTCGATAAAGAAGCAAATTTTATGTGGGATAAAGTAACAAACACTGTTAAACAAGTGACAAAAGATGTCTTTGGAGAATCGAAAGAACAAATTTCTATAAATAAAAATAGTTGGTGGCGGAATAATAATGTGCATGAAATATAAAATGTAAGAATTTATGTTACAAAAATTAGTTTAAATGTAAAAACTTAGAGAATTGAGAAAAATATAAAATGATCCGTAGGAAGTCTAAGAGAATAATCTTTGACGCTAAAAACTTTGTTTTTAATGATATTTATAATAGATTAGATACTTAAGAGGTTAATATATATATATAAACTAGCCAAACAAAGAGAGAAGAAATGTAAAGTTTTAACTCAAGTAAAGTGTATTAAAGATGAAAATAAAAAAGTGTTTCTCTTAGAAAAAGACATTTAAAATTGGTGGGTAAATTATTTGATAAATTTTTTAATGAAGTTTCTGAAAAAATGATCCACCTTAGTGATCTTAATATCATAAAAAATAATAAAATATTCCATTTTCACCCTCACATTAGTAAAAAAGAAGTTGAGGAGACTTTAAAGAAAACCTAGGAGATTTGGGAGTTTCTTGACTTACTGAACTCTTTAATATTATTTTAAAAACTAAAAAGATGACTGAGGAGTGGAAAAATGATATTTTGGTCCCCATTTTTAAGAATAAAGGGGGGCGCAAGAGTGTGCAAATTATAGATGAATTAAGTCGATGTGTTGCACTTTAAATTATGGGTGATTGAACATAGGTTAAAAAGTATTAAAAAATTTCTCATAATCAATTTATATTTATGTCGCGCAAGTCTTCTATGGAAGCTATGCATTTATTGAGAGGTTGGATGTAGAAGTTTATAGATAATAAGGAGAATCTGCATATGATTTTTATTGATTTAGAAAAAGCTCACGATAAGGTTTCAAGAGATATCCTTTGGAGAGTTCTAGAGAAGAAAGGAGTTGATATGACATATATTCAAGTCGTTAAAGATATGTATACTAGAGTTGTTAGTTGTGTTCGAACGAAAGGAGGATTGACCAAATATTTTCCTATTTTAGTTTGATTACATCTTATTGTTTTAGTTATGGATGCTCTTACTGGACATTTAGAGGAGGATTTACCTTGGTGTATGCTTTTCGTTTACTGGACATTTAGAGGATGATATCCTTCTCGTGGATAAGACTAGAGAAAAAACTCATGAAAAGCTTGAATTATGGAGGTCTACATTGGAGTCTAAGGACCTTCGTTTGAATAGAACTAAAACAGAATACATGAAATGTAATTTTAGTAGTAGGAGCTCTAATGAAAGTGTTGCAACTATGTGTGATCAAATGATTAAAAACTGTAAACGCTTTGGATATCTCGGGTCTATTGTTCAAACTGATGGTGATATAGATTGGGATGTTATTAGTAGAATTCAAGTTAGTTGGTTGAAGTGGAGGAATGCTTCGGGCCTATTGTGTGATAGAAAAGTACCACTTACCTGAAGGAAAAGTTTTATAAGATGGTTGGGAGACCTGCAATGCTTTATGGCGCCGAATCTTGGCATTTAAAAGTGAAGCATAAAACTAAGTTAAGTGTTGCCGATATGAGAATGCTTAGGTGGGTGAGCGGCTTTACACAGAGACAAAACGCGAAATGAATATATTTGTGATAGGGTTGGTGTAGCTCTAGTGGTGGACAAAATTAGAGAGAGTCGTCTTAGATGGTTCTGGTCACATTAAACGTTGATCATCTGATGATCCGATTAGAAAAGTAGATGTTTTAGATTCGACTTATGTTGAAAAAGGCAAAGGTAGACCTAGAAAGACTTGGGCATATTGTATAAAAAATGATCTTAAGTTATTAGAATTAAATGAAAATATGACCCTCAATAGGATGCAATAGAGAAAAAGGATTCATGTAGCCGACCCCACTTAGTGAGATAAAAGTTTGTTGTTGTTGTTGTTGTATGAGATTATGTGAAAGATTAAATTCAGAGGCATTTTAGAAGTTTCTGTTGTGTTGTTTATCCATGGCGTGGGGAGTTGTGTTATTAATGAAGAAGATGAGGGGAATCAGCCATTGGACTTAGTGGGGGATTTTGTGAAGTATAAAGTGATCATGAGAATATGAAGGGTCAAGCAGACTTTATGCATGACTAAAATGGAGCTTAACCAAGTTTCGACTAAGTTGATCATACTTTTAAGTTCTTTGATCAGAAGTCAAAGATTCAATTGGGAGGTGAGGGTTTGGTTTGATAATGGGTTTGTATTATATTAGCAGATTTGGTGAAGTTTGGACTAATGTGTATTTAAGTATTGGCTAGGGTTGGGGTTGAGACTTAATTTTTTGGAAATTGAAATATTTATAATGGGAATTCAAAGAGGGTGCCTTGAAAATAGTTTTAGGGATAGAGAGGAAAAAAAAATGAACAAATTATATTATTCATGTCTTAAATGAAGAAGTTATGACTAACATTGAGGCAATGTAAAATATATATTTCTATAAAAAAGAGCATAGGTCTAATATTTTGAAAATTTTTCAAAGTTCAAAGTAGAAATAAATTTATAGCGTCCTTAAATTTTGACGGGCATTTTACATAGAGATAAGATCACACCATAACAATTTTAATCAAAATACAATTCTTTTGATATTTTTAAATTTTAAAAGTAAGAATTCATTAAAAAAAACAATTTAGATATCATTTTTTAGCACAAAAAAGTTGAGACCGAATTATAAAAAATTGCTCTAATGTTAAGTTAGAGAAATAAAAAAAAGGTTGGAGAAGAAGCTGATTAGAATGGAGAGATAAAGGTGCCTAACATGAAAGATATTGAGGAGGAAGCTCACAACACACCACTAAAGAACTATTCTCTTCATGCCAGCTACTAATTGTCACTACCACCCAAGGAGAGGGAAAAGCTTGGAGATCCTTGACGGGAGTTCATCCATGAAGGCTTACAAGCTTCTATTCCTCATTTTTCATTCAGCATAATTCAAAGCTTTGGTCAATTATTTATAGTAAGATGTTAAGTAGGGTTCACCTTTACACCTAAGGGTGTGTTTGGGGTGGTTGCTGCTTTTCCAAGAAGTAGGTGTTGTTTGAAAGCTGCTAATGGAAAAATAAGAGTCTATTTGGATAATCTACTGTGCTGCAGTTGTTTCTAATAAAAAAAATACTATTTTGTCTTTATATATGTAATGCATCAGAATAAATGTAGTTTTTCATAATAATTACACTAGAATAACAAAAACAATCTTGCTTCAAAAAAAACTTTATTGGAGTACAAAATACAATAATATATAAAAAAATGATTAATCATTTCATGCATATAATTACAATAACGAGGATCACTAAAATAATCAGCAGTCCTAGAATGATGTTTGTTTTCATTTTTTGACAATCAAGTCTTTAGGATAATCTTCTCTTCATGACAACATCTCCTGATTTGATCACTGTCTGAAGCGTACTCATTCGTGTCATCAATCCAAAGAAGATAATTGCAATATTTAGGTGTCATGTTTTTGGGGGACAACAATAAAATCTCTTCACATAGCTATCTTCTCTTCTTGATTTGTTAATCAATACACTGCATGCCACATAGACAGAATGGTACTCTCGAAATACCTGATGCTCTTGACTCATGTTTCATGTGATTGTAATGCACTATTGCTTCAATTGACAAAAAATTGTAGATATGCGACAAAAACATTAAAAAAATGAAAGTTTTATAATAAAATCAAAGCGTAGGAAGGACACATCAAGAAAACCTTAATACAAAATGCTACAAAGATTTAGAAAATATGCATCCAACAAAACATCTGTAATCTCTTATCTTAACCGGATCATATCATGGACGTCTTCTCCCTCGAATGTATTGTACTCATTCGTACAAAAGTTTATCAGAAAATGAATGTTCGACCCGATTTTGGAATGTTTCCTTAGAAATACAAGTAGGATCTGCATGTAAGGCCTTGAAATCAATATCTTCTCGAGATGAATGTCGTCGTATAAAATTATAGAGTTTTGTTGTAACAAGTACCTTGACATATTTTTTTAAGGAGTGTCGGCACATCTTGGTATGACCCACTTTTTTTTTCCATACTCTGAATGCTCTCTCGATAACCCTCCATAATGACGAGTGTCTCTTGTTGAAGATTTCATTCCTCCCTCCAATTACTTAGTCGTTGTGCTCAAAATCAGGAAGGTGATATCTCATGTGGGGAAATAGTTTCAAGTGGATATCTCAATTCAATGAGTTAATATTTTCTTGAATAAATAACATCATAAGTGCATATCTTAAAATGAAAATTTTCATGCAATGTCTTAAATGTACTAACCTTGGAGAGGAATTAAAAATTTGTATTCACGTTGTCGGGTTGTAAATTTAAACATTTGGCTAATGTGAGCACTTTTTTCCCATCCACCCATCACGAATGTAAAACAAATATTAAAATCACACTACTAAGATATTGTGTAGCAACCCCACCATATGCATTCTTCTCATCATTGCTCACATGTGCATCATGTGTGTCGTCGATTGCTTCAATACATTTCTTTTTATAAAAAACATGTTAGACCATTATTTTTTACTTTTTTTAATGTATTAATGTTAGAATGGGAAGAGATACCAAATACCGTGAAGAACATCATGTATCTCGGATCACTATGAATTTCTTGCGGTGTTTGTGCAAAAAGCTGGGTTTAGGGATTTAACAACGTCGGTAGACAGTTTCACGAGAGATTCAACCCCGATGTCAAAATACGTGCTAATTGTCTCAATGGAGTGTTGGAAATGCTTCGAAGCAGCACGAGTGGGCTTATTGTGTGACATAATAAGAAAAATTAATGACTATAACTTCTCAGGATAACTAAGCTCAATATAATAGTCATCAATCAATTGCAAATCAATTAAAAACTCGCAAATTATCTCCGTGCTTTGAAATTTTGTGAATAAGTGAAAGGACTAGATGCTTGGCAAGGATGGATTTTTTCTCATTGGAAAAGAGGAGCAGAATTGTCTTCAAAAGAAAAATTTTGTTTATGTTGATTGTTTGTGAAATTTTATGAAAGAAATATGAAAGATAGTTGTGCAGAGAGGAAGACTTTTGTTGCATTCAAATCACAAATCACATTCGCAAAGAGTGTGAAGGTGGTGAAGGGGGCTTAACCTTCAGAGAGGATAAAAGGCGAGAAGTCTCAAAGGCCACTAGGTGCCACATGGGGAGACGGTGACAACTTCACAGGTGGGTCAACCGAGTTCTTTGAGAAGTCAAGGTAGAAGGTGCTATACGAAATGGCTTTGATGGAATAGATGATGCTAAAGAAATCTTGACATAGTGCAAAAGAAGAGATCGAGCACAACCACGAACATGAGAAATGTGCAAAATTCAACTCAAAACAAGAGAGAAGAAATGGGTGGTGCGTGGGGCTTTGCTAAGTTTTCTTGGAGATCGATAATGAACAAAACATCGATGTCATGAGAGGTCATCAACAGCATGAGCAACCCATGGAATCGTTTCACCAAAAAACCCTAAAAACCTTGAACATGTGTGAGATAGTCACGAAGAGTTATGCGCATGCAGTGACAAACGTTGGAAATGAAAGCATGTGTCGCAATCACTTGTGCCAGAGCTGTCCAAATTGACACACATCAAAGCCGATCACATCTCCCAGATGTTTACCTAGCTGAACCTTGCTCGGTGAACTTGACCGCAATCAGCTGCCTATGCAGCCAGGGCAAGACAATTGTGCGGCGAGAAAAGAAGCTCAGCCATACGAAATTGGCCGCAACCTCAGGGCACAATATGAAAAACATTAGTACTGATGAACTTCTACTATCATTTGACATTATCTTAAGCATTGTTGTTTGTGTGTGTTTCTGCTTTTGATAAATTTGGTTTAAAATGTTGTTGTTTGGACAAATGTTATTTTCTTTTTGTGGGGTAACTTTTTTGAAGCAATTTTTAGCCATTTCGCCCTTTGCCTAAAAATGGGTCCAAATCAAAAAAAAAAAAGAAAAGAAAAGACATTACAAAAACACCATACATTGTTCCGGAAGCTAAGCAAGCAAAAAAAATAAAAAACCTAGATTTTAAAATTTCATAAACTTTTTTTTTTTAACCCAGCTAATTGTTATCTCATGTGGTTTTAAATTCTTATTTTCATGTATTTTTTTTCTGAACTTCTTTTCAATTTTTTGAATAAATCTATATCATAGATCGTTATACTCTTACATAATAACTGTTTCTTTAAATCTGGCATTTATTACTTTTTAAAGTATTCTTTTCAATTTTTTAGTGTTTATATTTTATCTAAAATCCTGTTATCTTTGCATTTAATGAATCAAATTTGATCAAAAGTTCTACATCTTTTATTTTTTGCCTTGCTTATGCTACAAATCAATACAAACTCAAGTATGTAGCTTATTGGCAATCCATCTTATTACATAAATCATCGAAGATTGTAGGTTTTATTTTGCTTATTATTCCTTTTGCCATATTTATTTCTTATAATCAATCTAAACTCTAGTAATATTTAATAATTCTTTGCCGTTGATAACCTTTTGTACCTTCTAAATTGACCATCAATTCTGTTTATTATTGTATAATTTATTTTTCGACTCATAAATATTTTATGAGAATCTTCTGAATAAAACTAGCCATTTCATCCCATATTAAAAGTTTCTTTGATAATAGCATTTTAGTTTGCCTCTCCCTTAACAACCCATCTTGAAAGATTGATAATTTCTCGTATAAATTTTAAGTAACGAAATTCTGAAATGAGAAGCATTTTGGTTTTTTCTTTCATGCATCATGCTTATTACCGATATGATTATACAAATTGTTCGATATTAGTGTTGACTACTCATTTTGATTTTTTTCTTTTCTTATCAATATTACACATAATTATATGTCTTTTAGCATGACTGAAATTCAAAACCAGGTTTATGGATATGCTAGAAGGTTTGCTAAAGTTGGAATTGCAGATGCTCTTGTTGAAGCACTTCGTGATGGGCTGCGTTCTACTAGTTTTGTTTCAGCATGCATTACTCTGAAAGTTGTTGCTGTCAATGTGAGTTTTTTTGACAATCTTTATTTGAATTGCAAATTTTACAAAATTGTACTGCCCATGGTTACAACTTGCTCATCATTAACACAAAATGACAATACGTGTCACATTCTCAACCTCATTCTAACATTTATGATAGAATTTTTATTTTAATAATTATGCCTTTATATATCGGCATTTAGAAATAAGGTATCCGGTGAGATGAAACTGGAAATATAAGGTACAAATATGTCTGAAATATGATTTGTATTGAATAAATTTCATTCGATGATGTAGAGTTGGCCATGGTATGCATTGCAAATGTTACAGAAATTTTTTTGAATGGGGATAGTTGGAGGGAATTCACTTTCTTTTTAATTAGATTTTTCCCATCTCATTTCTTTATGAGACATAACTCTTGCTCTCATATTTTTTTGACTGAGATGTGAATCTACTCTTTTTATTTAGGAATGATAGAACTTTATTTGTCTACAGGATGAAATTTGCCGTTCAATAGCTGGAAATGGTGGCATTGACATTATTCTTAGATGTATAGATGACTGTGATGAAGCTAGCTTTAAATCGGTTGCTAGAGCCTGTTGTTCTTTGCTATCTAAGGTACTCTTATATCCTTAAGCAAAATTTCATTTTGCCAAGAGCTTATTTAATTGTTTGCAAATAGAAATTATATTTTAGAAAATGATAATTTTTACATAATTTGAGCATGAAATTAAAATTACCCTTTTTGATGAGAATTTGGAGAAGCTTCGTGATGTTTGAAATCATTGTCAGGGTTTAAGCTCACCCAACTAAAAAAGGATTTTAAAATTTTGATAGTTTTTCAAAACATGTTCCTGACTACAAGAAGCCCAATGAGCCCTAAATAGAGAAGTATATTGACTTATTTTAAACTGTGTTCTGCTTTAAGTTGGCAGGGAGTGATGAGAACAAGGGCGCTATTGTACAGAGAGGTGGTCTTGATAAACTAATGAATTTGTCCTTCAGATTTTCAGATGAGCCTTCTATATTGCTTGAGGTACCTTGGCATAATCATTCTATGCTGTTTGTCTTCTGGTTTGCCTAGTGGACATTATTTACATATCTAACACCTAAATCTTACTTTTTCACATTTATACACCCAAATCTTTCATATTACATAAAAAATACAATTACTTTAATTTTTAAAAAGTGAAATACATCTTTTCATACATTGGTAGAGTGTTGCATGTATGTAAAAATTGAAGTTTTGGCATTAGATGTGTAAATACATAGGGTTTGAGTGCTTTGTATGTAAATTATCCAACCTTCTCTTATTAATATAAATCAGTTAATTTATGTTGCAGGTCATGTCAATTATTACCGTGCTTTCATTAAGATCCCCGGCAAATGCTGCACTATCAGTAGAAGCTGGGGCTGGAGATTTAGCAATCCAAGCAATGCAGAAGTTCCCCTCTGAGCATCAATTGCAGAGGCAATCTTGCTTCATGATCCGCAATCTGGTGGTTAGGAATCCTGAAAACCGGTATTTATATTAATATTCATGTTATTCATAATTCATGTTTGTGATGGCTGAAGTACAACTCAGGCTTTGAATTTAATCTTTGGAATTGGGATGGGATGTGAACTGTTATGCTGCAGGATTAATGCAAAATTGATTACCGTTATGTCTTATTTATCTTTACTTTTGGAAATCTAATAAAATTGACATCTTATGATTGTGCACTGGCATTCTAACATAAATATAATTTGATAATTGTCCACCAATATTGTTGAAAGTTTATTTTTTCTATTTTTGTATTGATGTTTGTTGGATAAAAGATGCACACATTAGGTAAGCCTCATTATCTTTAACTTTTATAGGAGAAATATGAATGAAATATATGGAGTAATAGGTCAATTTCATTTCGTGGTAGCTTTCGATGGAAAGGTAGATTTTCGTATTTTAAATTTATTATGGTTTTTGTTTCTAGATTTGTTTCTTTCATTTATAGTGCTGTTTTTTCATGGGGCCATTTACATGCATAGCACACAATTCTTATGTATTTACATATCTCACACCTTAACTTTCATATTTACAGACATAACTCTCAAATCTTTAATACCACATGAAAATTAGTACTATTATCATTGAAAGTGAAATGCATCTTTTCGTGCATAGATTATGAAATTTTAGGTGTGAGATATGTAAATATACATGAATTGTGTGTAAACTTCTTTTTGTCATATGATTCTACCATTTGTGACACCTCTTGTGAATCAGTATTATAGTTCTAATTTGGCATTCTACATTGACAGGATTATTCTTCTTAGCGCCGGCATCGAAGAAGTGATAAGGAAAGCAAAAGGAAGTCACCACACCCAGGAATGCTGCCAGCGCTGCACTGCGGGACTTGGGTTTGGATGATTACAATGCATAGAATTCTACTAAAATTATATTTATTTTTTTGCATCAATATTTCATCGTAGTATAAACTACTTGTGTACTAGTGCTCTTGTTTGATTCTGCTTTTTAGGAAGTTTTGTCTACAAGGCAAACGCCTAGTGTAATCTGTTAATGGGGTGTTTGGTTGAGTTGAATTTGGATGGAAATGAAGTATTTATGCTTAATATATATTTTTTAGGATAATTACATGCAAATCACCCGAAGCATTGATATTTAGAAATTAATCACCCAAGTGATATTTAAAACCAAGTGATATTTAAAACTATTGAATCGACGTATTTATTTATGTCAAGACAAACGATTGAGAATTTGATAAAAAAAAATTATGGGTTGGGCATTTACCATTAATTTTGATATTAGAAAAATGGATGAGGAGGATGGTTGGTTTGTAAATAGCAGGTTCCGGGTGGTCTGTATGAAATTGCCCTTTTTTTGTATGTTTAATCTGAAGCCAAGCCTCCGAAGCATGGGTTGCTTTTTTTGGCGTTTGAGAGAAAGTATTACACAATTTGTGTTCGGAGTCGAATGGTGGCGTCATGTGTCAAGTGGGCCCACCACAATAGATTGAGATTGATTAATGTTAAAATTTGTGAGGTCCACCTGACACGTAGCGACTCACTATTTGACTCCGATGCATCCGGAGTTGCCCTAATATTTTTTCGTTTGAGAGGCCTTCGGAATAGATTCCCGAGCATATTTTTCATAAAATTTATTACCGTTTTTAAAATTAAAAAATATAAAGTAAAGGTATAATTAATTAAAATGTATACTCAGTGTATCCTAGTAAGCTCACTTTTTGTTTTTAGGGATTAATTGGCTTGTTTTTCTAGGACTCATCTATAGGCGTAATGCGTAATAACTGTGATTTAAGATATTATTTTATGGTTATTGTTTTATAGGACTAATGTGATTGTTTGAAGTTATAAAATATATTTTGAAAACTAATGGGGTAATTGAATTTTATAATTTAGTACGATGAGTTTAGAAAATAATATTAATTTTTAAATTTTTAAATTTGTAGAACTTAAAAATAAAAACCTGCTTAATGTGATGGTCTTTTTTTAGCATAAATATGAGAATAAATGATCAATGTAGAACACTGGATTTTGAATTTAAGCCATCAAAAATGCTAATTAAAGATTCTAAATAGGAAAAAAAGTTGTCATTGATGAGTTTAATAAATATAATATATGAGAAATTAATTAAAATTTATATCATGTTAATTGTAAAGTGAGTTTCATAGTTTTTATATTCTTCATAATTCAAAATTTAATAAGGATATCTTAAGGTCTTTTTTTAATCAAAATATCAACCCCTATATCATTGTTTTAACATGGCAATTGCACTCGTCTAACTCAATATAGCAAGTTTAATTTGGAGTGATGCATATGATTCCTACTAAGGACTCTCGTTGGTATGAAAATTTTACATCCGGACTTTGGATGTCTGGACAACGGCCCAGATGCAGCAAGGAGGGTGGATGTCCGATTTCTTCCCACCTCCACTGCATCCGGGCCGTTGTCTAGACATTTGCAGTCCGGATGTAAAATTTTTTCCTTGTTAGTCTGCTTATTTAAGAAAGTTCAAACATGGTAAAAAAAAAAAGATGACGACTCATAAGGTGTGTCGATATGATTATCAAAAGGACAATTTTAAAAAATAAATATTTTCTTAATATATATTAACATTTTCAATATTTTAATTCCAAAATTTAGAAATGGGCATAGTTGCCGGCAGGACCGACGACTAAATGTGGATGTGATAGTTGAGTCATGTGGGTTATATGCAACAAATATTAGTGAAGGTTAAAATGCTACAAATTCATCATTGGTTGACTCCTCCCAGAGGCCACATAGATTTAAGAGTTCCAGTGGATTCTTTCACAACAACACTAGCAAGGAATTCTACTCTAAATTTTAAGTGGAAAAATAGGAAAGAAAAGAAGTATGTAGGGCAATTGGTAGATTTTGTTACTAAGCCAGATTGATATTGAATGTTGCCAATGACCCAAATTACATGTCTGTGTTTGAAGCAGTTGCTAATTTTAGACCTGATTTTACTCCACCTACAATGCATGAATTGAGAACTTGGATACTCAAAGATGAGGTTGTTACAATCAATAAGATGTTAGCGGAGCATAAAAAAACATGGAGTAAATATGGGTGCTCGGTTATATCAGACAATTGGACAAATGAAAAAAGTAGAACTTTGATTAATTTTCTTGTGAATAGTCTAGCTGAGACTTTTTTCTTAAATTTGTGGATGCTTCTAATGCTATAAAAAGTGGTGATTTACTATTCACTTATTTGGATGACATGATTGAGAAAGTTGGAAGTGTAAATTATAATAGATAATGGGTCAAACTATGTGAATGCAGGTAAAAAAATAATAGAGAAAATATAACATATTTATTGGACACCATGTGCCGCACATTGTATTGACCTAATGTTAGACGACATTGAAAAGTTGAAGATTCACGAGAACACACTTGTAAAAGTAAAATAAGTTGTAAAATTCATTTATGGGCACACACGAGTTCTAGGTTTGTTGATATCTTTTATAAAGGAGAGGGAACTTGTTCGTCCAGCTATCACATCATTTCTTATGGCATATTTGACCCTTCAAAGCATTTACAAGCAGAAGCTACCACATTAGGCAATGTTCTCCTGAGAATCACGGTGTTCTAGTCAATGGGAAAAGTAGATGACATGTATAAAAGTTCAAGCTGTTATTTTCTTTGATCCACATTTTTGTAGTCATCTTGCTTATTGTATCAAAAGTGTTGTGTCACTTGTAAATGTTCAAAGAGAGGTTGACCCAGAAAAAATGCCAGTCATGGGTTATATTTATGAGTTAATAGATTCAGCAAAAGAAAAAAATTGTTTTTAATTGTGGGCATAATGAAAAGAAGTTTGGACCTATTTGGTGGAAAATTGATGCAAGATGAAAAATCTAACTTCATAGACCACTACATGCAGTTGTTTATTATTTAAATCCTCAATTTCACTTTGAGGATAATATTTCTAACAATAATGAGGTAAAAGAAGGGTTAATTGCTTGTATAGAAAGAATGTTGGACTATGAAGATCGTTTTAGAGATGATATTTAATTAGGCTTGTATGATAACTCACGAGGAGACTTTGAGAGTTAAGTTGCTATGGATTCAGGACAGTTGAGATCTCGTGCTGATTGGTGGATGAGATTTGGTGGGAAAACACTTGAGTTAACGAATTTTCTAATTCAAGTTCTTAGCCTCACATGTAGTTCATCATGTTGTGAAAGAAATTAGAGAGCTTTTGAATTAGTAATAATTTTTTTATTTCTTAAATTTTAAAAGTATTACTATTTGTTTTCATAATCACATTTTAAAAATAATATTTTTTTATCTTAGATTTATACCAAGAAGAGGAACAGGTTGGAGCACAAGAGGTTGAATACTCTTGTATTTGTAAGATACAATACTTGATTGAGAGAGAGAAGTATAAGAAGAAAACAAGACTTCAATCAAATACTGATAAATGATATAGATTCTGATGAAGAGTAGACTATTGAGAAAAAAAAATTCAATGCTTTCATAGAAACCTTCTTGGATAAATGAAGAACAGGTTTTTGATGCTGATGTAATCAGAAATACGCTCACGACAAATGCAAATAAACAATCACAAATTATTACACAAGGAAGAAATGACATTTTTATAACATTCTCACAGGAAAATGAAGATGAATGAAAGAACAAGTTTTATATATACATTTAATTCATTTTTAGACAAATATGCATTCTTATTTTTTTATAGAGAAAAGATCCTAAATATTTACGAATGCTATTTCGCTTGTGTTTTTAATTTAGGTGACAATGATAAGAAGAAATAAATTATGATTGTGTCTGAGATTGAGCATGATGATGACTTCAATGAAGTTGACAATGAATGTAGTGAATATGAAGGACCTAGTTGCGATTTGGACACAACTATTGGTGAAGAAAAAAAAAATTTGATGATGAATTTGAAGAATGAATAAATTTTAAGGATTGAGATCAAATGATCATAAATTTATTTTTTTTATCAAACATGTTTACTTACTTTTATATGTTTCTACTTTTTTTTTGGTGGATTTTTGCTAGTATCTTGAAGACTCGAATCCTGTAAGACTTGTTCTATTTGTGTTTATTTTTTTTATTATGCACATATAGTTTATTTTTTTCCTTAATATTTATATTCCTTTTTTTTTCTAATACTGGGGGCTTACGCCCGATGCCTTGTGGCTTACGCCTCACCCTATAACAGCTAAGAAGCCCCACCCAACACCCACGCCTTTTAATACATTGCTATTGTTGGCTTGCAGTAGAAGACCATTGAGTCACAACTAGAAACTGACTCGTTCTAACTAGCTAGTCCCTTTAACTAGCATTGTTAAATATTTATATAACAAGTGTTGTGGGTTTTTAATCTGGGGATCAAATCTGGAGGATGATTAATAAAATTGTCTTTGATCACCATTGGAGATTTAGACCGTGAAAAGATTAAAATGATTAGGATCTTTAAAATTTGAACCTATGATGCACTAGAAAGACTGCCAATGGTATTGATTCATAGATCACACCGTTTTTTGTTTAATGGAATGGAAGCAAAGAGAAAAGACATCGAGCCTATTCATTATTCAACCTGTTTTTCTCAAAACTTTGACATTGGATTGATGAAAAAATTAAAACTTTGATTAATGTTTTTATGAATAGTCAAACTGTGACTTTTTACTTTAGAAATGTAGATGCTTTTAATGCTGTAAAAGTGGTGAGTTACTATTCACTTATTTTTATGACCTGATGGAGGAAGTGGGGAAATAAATATGGTCTAAATTAAAACAGGTAGTTAGTCAAATTATGTGAATGGGTGTAAAAAGATAATGGAGAAAGACAACGTATTAATTGGGTGGTTATTGAAAAGACAACAAATTAAAAATTAATTATAATTTGTTAGTTAATGTAGAAATTAATTTGAACATTTTTGTTAATATATAGAGAAAATAATAATCAGATTTAATAAAATATTTAATAATAATATTATTATTTATAATAAAATAAATAAAATTAAAGTAGTAAACGCCTCTATATGGGAGAAATTATTCCATACGGAGTACGTACGCAATTCTGCATGCGAACTTCAGTAATGTGCCGCCACGTGGAGGTTATTGTGAGGTTATTGATGTGAAATCACAGAGGTTATTGGGGGGAGGTTAATGCGGGGGTAATATAAGAGTTATTGAAATGAAACCACAAAGGTTATTGGAGTGGAATCACAAATGTTATCTGGGGGTTATTGGGGGTAGGGCTGTCAAAATGCTCGTTGTTCGCGAACAGTTCGTGTTCGGCTCGTCCGGGAGTTCGTGTTCGATTCATTCAATAAACAAATGAGACAAATACAAATATATTTTTTTTTGTTCAGTTTATAAACGAACCAAACACGAACGATCATTTATTTGATCGTGTTCGAATCGTTATTGTTTGAAATATAAAATAATTATAAATAAAAAAAATTATCATATTTTAAAAATTATTATATACTTTAAATTTTTTTCATATTTTAAAAAATTAAATCCTATAAATTATGATTTGATCTTCAGCTTCGTCTCTAAGCTTATATTAAATTATATAATTTTGTATTTATCTTCAGGTTCATCTCTTAGCTTAAATTTTCTTATATTTCTTTTAAATTTATTTAGTTTCATTGAGTGAAGCTAGTTTTTGAGAGTAAAATCTCGCATATTGCCTCTTGATCCGAATTTTTTATGGATTAAATATAATATTATGGTTTTATTGTGAGTTATGCTTCAGCTATTTTGCATGTGTTGTGATTCATATATGTTTAAGCATTATTTCATATAGGTTTAAGCTTTTAAAAGATTTCGAACTATTCAAACAATTCGAACAATACAAATAAATTTGTAAGATTTCAACAAATTCAAATAATTCGAATAATTCAAACAATTTGAGCATTTCAAACATTTCAAACATATTTTAAACAAATCAAATCGAACACGAACAATAACTTCACGAACAATTCCAAACACGAGTCTATTTCAAACACACGTAATTTCAAACGAACAAAACACGAACACGAACACGAGCTATCTTCGTTTGTGTTGGGTTCGTTTACACCCCTAATTGGGGGGTTATTGAGGGTTTATTGCGATGTTATTGGAATTAACGCTTCAATAACTTCCCAATAACCATCTCAAATAACCTCCCTGATTCTAATACGGTTTCACTTTAATTTTTTTTTATGTGAGCCCGATATAACACACATGACGGTATATTATTAGAGTCCGCACGTAGACTTGCGTACGTACTCCATATGAATATATATATATATTTGTCTTTTTACCTATTTGTTACATATTATGTGCCCATACTCATAATTTTGCCAATAATTGAGCGATACATATGTAAATTCTCTTTCTCTGGTGTGTACTGATACATTAGTATTTCTGAGATAATATTATTTTTTTAGCATCACGGTGGGATCATTGCATACGTGACACCCAACTGAGTACTGATATATTAATATTGCTAAGGTAATATATTTTTTTTTCATGGAGAGGGGTTAGTAAGATTTTGCCAATAATTGAGCGATACATATGTAAATTCACTTTCTGTGTACTGATACATTAGTATTTTTGAGGTAATATTTTTTTTTTAACATCAAGTAACGCATTCCTACCCGCGCCACTCCGTTATTTTCATCTTGGTTGTCTAATGGCCCAGTGAAAACGCAAGGAAGAGAGAGCAAGAGATGCCAAGAGCCTTGTTCGTTCTCTCTAGCACTCCAAAGTCTGTCATTTCATGTCCAAAACCTTTCTCCCACGCATCAAGCTGCCCCTTCCCCGCACTCCAAACTCCCCAATACCCATTTCTCGAGCCCGCAAACTCGCCGCCACCATCACTGAAATCCTACAAACTCGCGATACTAATTCTCAATGGGAAGAATCCCTAGAAGATGTCTTTCCCGCCTACGAGGATATCTCATCCATTGTCGCCCACCTTCGCGACGCAGACTCAGCCCTCGCCTTTTTTTCCTGGGCCCGCCTGCACCCCTCCACCGTCATTCCAGACTCTGCGTCGTACTCCGCATTGCTGTGCCTCCTTGCCAGAACTTGTCGCTTCGAAGAATCCCAGCTAGTGCTCGAAACTATGCTAGCGGAAGGAAAGACTCCAACTTGCGAAGCCTTCAGCACACTTGTCGGCTCCTACGCCCGTTCTGGTATGCAAGATAAGGCCTTGAGCGTTTATTACAACATGAAGGAGCAATTGAGCTCTGTGCCATATGTATCCGACTGCAACTTTCTGTTGAATTTACTGGTAGAGCATGGTTGTCTCGTGACTGCACAAGAAGTGTATGATGAAATGCTTAAGACGGATGGTGGAGCGAACAACTTTAGCACGGGCATCATGGTTAAAGGATTGTGCATGCATGGAAGGATGGGCGATGCCAGGAATTTGATGAATGATAGATGGGGGCGAAGCGTTGTTCCAGATGTGGTTTTCTATAACATGTTGATTGATGGGTACAGCAAGTGCGGCAATGTTAGGATGGGTTATTTTCTGTTACGAGAGATGGAATTGAAGGCATTTGTGCCTACAGTGTCTACTTATGGGGCTATAATTAAGGGATTTTGCGGGAAGGGGAATTTTGAGAAGATTGATTGGCTAATGTCGGAAATGAGGACTCGAGGATTAAAGCCAAATGTGTTTATTTATAACAACATCATTGATGCTAGGTGTAAGCATGGTTCAATTCTTGAAGCAAAAGCAGTTTTGAAGCAGATGATTTTGAGTGGTTGTCAACCTGATATTGTAACTTACAACATTCTGATTTCAGGTTATTGTAGGTTTAGGAGGGTTGGCGAGGCTAAGAATCTTCTTAGAGAGGCTATTGGAAGGAGCTTGGTTCCAAATGAGTTCAGCTACACTCCTCTTATTCATGGATATTGTCAGGAAGATAGTGTTGCTTTGGCTTTAAATTTGCTAACTGAGATGATGGAAAGGGGGCATAAGCCTGACTTGGTAACTTTTGGAGCTCTTATTCATGGGCTTGTTCTTGCAGGAGATGTCCATGAGGCATTGGCTATTCGAGAAAAGATGGAAGAAAGAGGAGTGATCCCTGATGCAGCTGTCTATAATGTCTTGATGAATGGTCTTTTTAGGAAGGGCATGGTTTGTTCTGCTCAAAAGTTGCTTTCCGAGATGCTCGATCAGAATGTTATGCTGGATGAGTTTATTTATGCTACATTAATTGATGGCTTTTCTAGGAACGGGGATTTGAAAAATGCTTCAAAGGTCTTTCAGTTAATGGAAGAAAAGGGTATCAGGCATAGCGTTGTTGTCTATAATGCCCTTATCAAAGGTCATTGTAAGGCAGGATTGTTGAATGAAGCTGTCATGTATATCAAAAGAATGAGGCAGGAAGGACATCTGCCAGATGCATTCACGTATACTACATTAATAGATGGCTATGCGAGGCAATACAATATGGATGGGGCTTTAAGGATTTTCGGCGAGATGGTAAAAAACGAGTGCAAACCAAATGTGGTTACTTATTCAGCATTAATTAGTGGATTTTGCAAGAGAGGTGATTTTGATGCTGCCATTTCTCACTTCAGGGAGATGCAATCTCGTGGTATTGTTCCTAATGTTGTAACATATAGCATACTTATCGGCGGTCTTTGTAAAATGGGGAAGGTTGTGAGTGCTGCCTATTTCTTTGAAGAGATGCTGTGCAGTAAATGTTTTCCTAATGATTTTACATTTCGTTATCTAATTAGTGGTCTCATTAGTTGCTGGAAGGATATAAATTTTGTTGTTGAGAGGTGTCAGGGTGTAAAAACTGAGCTCAAAATGATAGATATGTTTAAGAATATGATTTCAGACGGATGGGATCATAGGACTGCTGCATATAATGCTATAATATTCTGCCTTTGCAAACACCAAATGCTTTTGAAGGCATTAGAAGTGCGAGATCACATGATAAAACAAGCCTGCTTTCCGGATTCCATCACAATTCTTCTCCTTCTCCATGTAATTTGTGCACTAGGAAAATCACATCATTGGAAGGACCTTTTGTCTTGTAATTTTGAACAGAAGGAACTTGAGGTTGTGCACAAATACACAAGCCTGTTAGATCAGAACCTAAATGAAGGAAAGTCGTCTGAAGCATCATGCATTTTGCAATCATTGCTTGAAGAGCAGCGGTGCTTTCCAGAGTTGAACTGCAGAATTACTGCTGCTTAAAATACATTTATTACAGAAGGGGCAATGAGTTGGCTTTCTTTTAGAAGTGAGGTTCTTTGCAGAACATTATTAGGAGTTTGAGATATAGTTGGTGGATGGAGAGCATATCTATGAGAATTTTAGCCTGTAAGTGCAGAACAGTTCAGAAAGGCTGGACAGGATTAGAAAGAGGGGAGAATGTGTAAGAAGTGATACATGAGATGCTGGTGTGGCTTTTCTTATACCCAATGGCATTCAATTTCTTCACACGTATGCAAGATATTTGGGCTTCGAGACAAGAGCTAAGTGTATGTATTTTCTATTTTTGTTTCATATCTGTTGTAAATTTGTTTGAAAGATATATTTATGTTATTATACTTTTGTTTCTTTTCTTATCTCTGTTAACCAACATTTCAGCATGGCTCAATATCTAGTGCGGAAATTTTATGTAAGTAGTACGAAATATACTAGGTCAAGAGTCTAGGCTATTGTATGAAATAAATTGAGTAAATGGTGAATTAATACATTGCTAACAGATACAAGGAAGACAACAATTAGTAGGTTTGTTGAGTTGGGATGGAAACTTGGGCTTCAATTGGTTGACAATCAAAATCACACCACAGAAAAATGATCAAACTGATTTGAGAAATCCGGAACAAAATATCGAATAGAAACACAACAAAGTAATCTAAAAAAAACACACCCAAGATTTAGCGTGAAAAAACTCGATTACTGAAAGAAAACTATGGAGCCGCACCACACCAAAAATCTCACTATGAAAGGAGAAATATAAAGAAATTTACACCACTTGGATGTTCTCTTTACATCACTAAAACCTACAACAACTCAGTTCGAAATCCTCTCTTGATCGCGCAAGAAAAATCACACGCTTAGAAATACCTCTTAAACTTCCCGCTCAACACGAGTAGTTCGAGAATTCTCTGCATTCGAGAGATTCACAAGAAAAAGTTCCATCGCTCCGAATGGAGGGTTTAAGAATTGAATAAGGAGATAACTGCCTTTGGCGTAATCATGCTGCTTCTCAGCGTAATTATTCTAACCGTTTTGTTCCAGAACCTGCAATCGAAAAAGCCACGACGCAGGTACTCCACTACTTAGCGCGATCATGCCGTCCGACGTAGCTACGCCCAATATTGGCGTGGCTACGCCAGTCTTGTGGCACAGGGGCACCATTTTTGCAACACTAGGTTTTCTTTGTCTCTGTCGTGGTTGCTGTTTCATCCTAAATAAATCAGACTCTTCCCTCAACATGTTGCGTGCTGAAAAATTTATGGCGTTAGAATAATAGATTAATATTTTAGTGTTGCACGAAAATGCAACATATACAGAGATAAAAGAAATATTGAAATAGGGTTTAGAATCTATAGAATCTGGCCTAATCAAAACAATCTATTATAAATTTCAGGTTACAGAGTTTCACTCTTTAGGTTTAGAATATTTGATTACAGAATTTTGAACGAGTTTGAAGATTAAGCGAATCAATCACAAGTCTGTAATTTAGAAACCAAGAAAATAGTTGAGCAACAACAACCACTATGGTGTTCGACAATGATTGCTGGTTTTTGCTAGCTTCGAGTTTTCTTCAAGAATGTGAAATTAGCTTTTCGCGCACTCATTCCCCCACCATTTTAAAATGCAATTCTATTTATATAGTTGTGGGACGGTTTTTGTGGTAGATTTAATAAAATTTTGAAAAGATTCAATTTGACTGTAAGCATAATTAATTTTGAGATCATTTGACTTTTTAAATATTGCTCAAATCTTCTAATCTTAAATTAATATTTTCTTCAAAAAACTCAAATGTATGCATTAAATCACTTTTAGTGTCCTTGGGTTCACATTATCGAGATGTTCAATTTAGCTATAAATTCGCTAAAATTGATGGATGAATGATCTTGAATTTAATTCCAAAAGTCTTCTTTATCCAATTTGCATCTAGATTTGTGCCTGATCAACTAAATTTTTTTGGTGACATATCAAGGTTCAAACACCTTTCCTTGGTGTTGTAGTCGGTGAACTTACTGAGCAGGTTGGCTGGCTTCCTTTATTTTCTGCTTTGATTAGCCTTCCCTGTACAGGAAATTGTGAGTGTATTTTTACTGCGGGCTTTGCCTGTTTGAAACTGAGAAATTGAGAGGGAGAGAGAAAAAAGATAGGTATTGGGTGAAGAAAGGTATTGAAGTGGAATCACTCTCTTTTGATTTCTACTTGAAATTAACATCCCAAAATCTTCATCTATCCAGAGTGCACTTCAGTAATCCTTATTCTAATTTTTTTATAGCACTCAAATTATCTCTAGGCATCCTTGTAGTAGCCAGCTATTGCTAAGGTAGTGGAGTAATTGATGGAGTAAGTTTGGGTAGTCTCTTTAATCATCTCCATCTTAATTTCTCCCTCCCTCCATCGCTAGCTTCTTATTGAATTTCATTAGCTATTTTAGCACCTCGTTAAATCATATTTGCTATTACATCAAATGAAAAAATATAAATGGTTCTCTTTCATATGCTTAAAATTTTGGCTTGAAAATCACCGGATTATTAGACCAAGCTTTGTAACATCTTTGGTCTCTTTGGCCTATGCTCTCTCAAAATGGCGCTAAAGGTCATGGTTTGATTGAGGTCATGTGATTTGTGGTTCCTATTTGTCTTAGTAACTTCAAGCATTGTTGAGTATGGCTCAATAATGGGTGACTTTCATGTAGGCTTCGCATAATTTTGTGAGCTCTTGCTTCATGATATTTGATGACGTGAAAAGGTCTTGCTTTGAGAGGGAGTGATGGCTAACATGGAGAGTTTTCGCATGATCACATGAGAGTATTGAGTTTAGTCCCAAATCTACGAGTGAAAGAAGTGTTGGCATTGAAATATTAAGTATTTGGCCTTCTTTAATAGGCTTAAGCTTTTTGAGTAATAAATGAGTTTGACTACTTATGTATTAAACCAAACTTTGGTCTTACTTTACTTTCTGACACTTTAACGTGTTAATTGACATTATACTGCACCACAACTTCGCGGTTCACACTGCCTAGCCTCGTTGTGCCTTGCTCTTTAGGGCTGACATATCTGTCAAGCTTTGTGCCTTGTTCTTTAGGGTTGGCCACCTTTTCTAAATTTAGTCAGGTTTTGTTTCTCATGCAATAAATCAGATTCTTGCAGGAAATCAGATATTTATGGATCCTGTTAATCTTATTTGAATGCTATAGTAATTTATATTTTTTTCTTTAACCTAGAATTTTGAATGTTCTCCAATCTATACAAGCAATTAGAGTGTTACATGGATGAAGCCAGATGATGCAGGAAATCGGATTTTGAATGTTCTCCAATCTATACAAGCAGGAAATCAGCTGGAAGAGTGCATGGTTTTTCATCTAAAGTCATTTTCGTAGAACAATAATTTGCATTAATATAACACTGACGTTGCTGGTCCCAAGCTCAGATGTGAAAAGTAGAGGGTTGTGTTTGGTAGTCGACAACCAACTTAAAACTTGTCGAAATAAAATCATGACATGAATCCTTTTGAATATTGTGTAAGTGCTAGGACGTCCCATGGAAGCGACGTGTTGTATGTCTTGAATACAATGAAAAGTGTGTAAGGGTCGCTACACCGGCCTCCCGGGTGTAGTGTCAAATAAGCAAGGGTTCTCACATTATGGACAAATGCGAGTAAAGAAGTTAGTTTATGAAAATAATGAAACTAATATTAGGATAGGATCTTGGAATATAGATACTCAATATAGAGAATATAGATACTCTCAATGGTAAATTAATAGAATTAGTTGATATTATGATGTATAAAAAGATTAATATCTTATGTATTCAAGAAACTAAATGAGTTGGAGAAAAGTCTACGAAAATTGATAATTTAGGTTTTAAACTTTGTTATTCTGGAAAGAGTTGCTCTAAAAATGGGGTAGGTGTAACTATAGATAAGAGTTGTAAAAATTAATTTGTAAAAATTAATAGAGTTAGAGATAAAATTATAGCTCTTAAGATTATTATTGATATTAAGATTTTAGAAGTGCTTGTGCTTCTCAAGTAGGTTTAGATATAGAAAAATTTTTATTTGAGGATTTAAATGGACATTTCGGTAGAGTGGTAGAAGATTTCAGAAATATTCATGGTGGCTATAGCTTTGGAGTAACTAATGAAGAAGGTAGAACCACTTTAGATTTTGCTTTAACGTGTGATTTTGTTATTATTAATACTTTATTTAAGAAAAGAGATGAACATCTTATGAGAAGAAAAAATCGTCGAGATTATAAAGATTGCAAGGTCATTCCAAGTCAGGATTTAAGTACCCAAAATCGATTATTAGTTATAGATTTTAAGATGAATAGTTGTGAATTAAAAAATATTGGGACTTATCATCATAAAATTAAATGAGAGAACCTAAAAGACGCAAATAAAATTATTTTTATGAGTAAAATTCAAGATTTCAAAATTTGCGTTGTTTATGAACAAGTGAATGCTATGTGAGATAAAGTAACAAACACTATTAAACAAGTACCAAAAGATGTACTTGGAGAATCAAAAGAAAAAGTCTCTATAAATAAAAATTGTTGGTGGTGGAATAATAACATGCAAGAAAATATAAAATATAAAAAGTTATTTTATAAAAATTGATTTAAATGTAAAAGCTTAGAGAACTCGAAAAAAAATCAAATGGCTCGCAAGGAGTCTAAAAGAACAATCCGTGATGCTAAAAATTCTGCTTTCAGTGGTCCTTATAACCGATTAAATACTAAGGAGGGTGAAAATTATATGTATAAACTAGCCAAACAAAGAGAAAAGAAAAGTAAAGATTTAACTCAAGTAAAGTGCATTAAAGATAAAATTCAAAAAATATTTTTCTTAGATAAGGTATTCAATATAGGTGGGTGAGTTATTTTAATAAATTTTTTGATAAAATTTCTGAAAATACGATCGAACTTAGTGATCTTAATATCGTTAATAATAATAAAAAGTTTCATTTTTACCGTCACATTAGTAAAAAAGTTGAGGAGGCTTTAAAGAAAACCAATGGTGGAAAGTTTGTAGGACCTGATGATATTCCAATTTTGAAGTGTGGAAATTTTTAGGAGATTTGGGAGTTTCTTGGCTTACTAAACTCTTTAATATTATTTTAAAAAATAAAAAAGATGTCTGAGGAGTGGATGAAGAGTATTTTGGTCCCATTTTTAAGAATAAAGGGGTTGCACAAGAGTGCGCAAATTATTAAGGAATTAAGTTGACGTGTCATACTTTAAAATTACGGGAGAGTGTAATTGAACATAGATTAAGATGTATTA